AAGTCTAACTGCTATTGCTATTGCTATTGCTCTTTCACCGCTGGTAAAAATCAGCGTTTCTCCGATAGTGTGAGGTTTGCCACATTTTGCTATCAACAAAGATACTTCATAGGAACAAACGAGCCCCTTGTCGGCGTTGAGTGACGATTTTCCAAATAACTTCTCAACAGTGCTGCGACCCTCAAACTTGGCCTTTAAGGATTTGAAAAACAATAGCGGTTTGTTGGCTTTATCCAAATGAATTCTTCCAAATGGTCTTTCAGTCAGAAAGGCTTCATCGCTTCATTTGAAAATGTTTTCTCCCAAAGAAGACAAAATGGAAGCTGCACGTTGGAAGGAGATGGAATGAACCCCAATTTTAGGTATTCCGTCGAATATTGGCGACGCTTCCTCTTCTGGGCCATGTTGAGAGGTCTTCCAAATGAAAGGCACTAACTGCAAATTAAGTTTTTGACTGCACTGGAACCCTATAAAACACGCGTGGACGTCGATAAACCTAGTTTCAACAGTTACGTTGACATTACAGCGGACACCACAGGGGCAGCCACTCAGCATGCGACGTTTCGAAAGAAGTGCTCACTCCTCCATCACTGCATCACCACTCCATCACCACTGTATGGGTAGAGCGAGAGAAGCTGCTGCACAACGCGCATGAAGATGAGCGATGCGTAGTCACATATTTACAGCGTTCTGCACTGAAGCCAGCTGGAGGAACATTTTCAAACACAGTTCAATCCACTAATATCGAGCGATCTGATGTTTTTGTACGACAGATATGCAGCGGTTCACTGTACGAAAAAAGTATCAAACGTGTCCCCAAAACCTCTTGCTCCATCGCCCCCATATCACCCCACCTTCCGTTCCTTCGCCCCCCTTGTCACCCCTTTTCATTCCATTGCCCCCCTGAAAAATGAAAACGTCCCCTTGGGGGCGATATGACCCAGGATAAGAACCGCTGATCTAGTCCAACCCCTGCTCAAGCATTTCCCACGAGTAGCCTCCAGTCTCTTCTTGAAAGCCTCCAGACTCTGTTCTTCGGAATGGGGGGCTCTGGTGGCTCTTCTGGTACTTGAAGGGCTGTCACAGAGAAGAGGGGCTCGACCTAGTCTCCAAAGCACCTGGGGGCCGGACGGGAGGCAACGGGGGAGGGGGGGAGATCATCAAAGACAAATCCAGCCTAGAAGGAAGGAGGACTTTCCTGACAGCCACCTCCACGGTCCCTTCTTGGCCTAGGATTCTAAGGCCACAATCCCCCCCCCGACTGGCACCTTCTCTCCTTGGTGGCCCCACAGCTGCCCAGTTTGAGCCCCAGGGCGCCTTCGGGGGATCTGGGGGCCGCCTTTGGAAGATGAGCCCTGCCTGCAGCCCCTGCCTGCCCGGCCGAGAACCGGAGCCAGGCAGCTGGCAGGCAGGGGAAGCGGGCCGACGACGGTGGCTGGGCTGAGGTCGGCTCGTGCGGGCAAAGGAAGCAGGCGCTCTCTCCGGCCTCGCCCAGGCTCAGCGCCCGTCCCGGACTCGGCTGGGGAGCCGCCTTCGCCCGCCCGCAGCCCCCGCCCTGGCCGGCTTCTTGTCGGGCGCCCGGACCGCCTCCCTCCCTCCCTCCCGCGGAAGGTGCTGAGGACAGCGCCGCCTCCCTCCCCGCGGCCGCCGCCGCTCCTCCGCCGGGCCAGCCGTCCCCGACCCCCTCCGGGGGGGCCGCTCGGTCTCGGAAGCGGAAACGACGCCTCCCCCCCCACTCAGCCCCCCCCCGCCGCCATCTCCATCCT